CCAGATCTTCGAAGGGCTATGCGGAAGCCGCATGGTCGTATTCGTAATCAGCATGGTCGATAACCTATAACCCACTAGATTCCGAGCAAAAAGCGTTTAATCACTTCGTGGGGTTCCCTCGTCAGTAAGAATTCGCTTACATTTGTCTAAGATCTTAGTAAAATTTGAGTAAGTTTTTCACTAGGGCAGTTGAGTCACACTCTCGCTTGGATATTTCTACCGTATTACATTTGTTCCTTTTAATAAGCTTTTATTCTTACACGTGTTTGTGAAAGAAGGAATATTTTTGGACGTCGGTCTTCGTCATACAAATTGCTTTTGCACAGGCGCGTTTCATTAGAAGAAAAATTACCATCGGATTTCACACGTTTATTAAGTTACTTACACGAAATTAAGATAACTTACAATTTCATGCTGACAATTTATCGAATGCATATATTTCATTATGCTTCGTAAAAATCGAAGAAAATAAATCCTCGACTTTTCTAAGCTACTGGGAGAAACCAGTTATGTCCCACTCAGGAAATTAGGTGATGATCAGCAGTAATCATCATCATTATAATCATTAGTTATACTCGAGACATGTGATCGAGAAGTATCAGATATACTGATGAAAAATTTTTTATCATATATATTGTCCAGTAGCGATCTTTATACTTTAATCTCTCACATTGTTCAAAGTTAAGAAGATCAAAGGTACGGAAGTTTGGGTGTAATTTTTAAAAGGAATGTTCTGCTCCTTCCATCTCCATTTTGTTGGATCGATTGATGCTAAGATTTCTCCATGCAACTTCGTGACGTAGATATGGATGGTCGCCGGATGGGTCGCTGGAACAATGGCGAACTGAAAACCATGATGATTACGTGCGTGTTGGCAAGCTAAGCGTCCAAGTTTAATGGCAATACCTTTTCCGCTCGCGCACGTACTAGTGGCAGCCATGTGAATATGCAAAATCGTTTTCATACTAAACTCATGTTTCTGTTTGAATTGTTCTAGAAACTGGTGTTCTAAATCTGATAATAAGTCGATTATCGTGCTTTCACCACGTTGAATTTGTTCTTGTTCACGTACGTATTGATCACTACATGTGAGACAAGCGATTATCTTCTTTGTCTGTTTATCAATAGCCACCAACGACAACTGTTCATGAACAATTTTGTTGACTAATGGTAGTGCAAAACGATGAAGAAATTCTTCTTTTGTATAACCTTTATAAATTGTAATCGGGTTGTATTTAACAAACGACTCAGCTATTAGATTGGCACATTCATTCGTTTGATAGTCTTGAAGGAATTCATAAGTGTACGATGAATCCTCATCGATTATATGTGCCATGACACCAGCACAATAACAATGAATATGAAAAAAGTGATTGACACACTCTCACTATTGATGAAAAATAATTTGTTTTTTTGCTTTCTTTCTCTTTTTTGCTTTATTCCATCCCCAATTCATATGTTGTTCTAAAGATAAGCATGTACCGACATATGCCATTTATTTAAAACTTTTGTGTTTTTATTGTATTTTTTGATCTTCAATCTACACTGGAAGGTAAGGGCCTATTCTTTTTCTTCTTCTTATTTAAACGAAAGAAATCAGCAATTGTACACTATCTCTACCCACTGGAAGAGAAACAAGTCCCATTATTATCGGCGATAGAGAAAAATAAGAGCTATACATAATATAATAATGACAGAAAGATTTAGTAAAACAAAAAAACAAGATAACAGACGAAGAGTATGTTTATACACGTGTAGTAAATAAAATATGTATATACATACATACTCACACATGCGATTATTGCAGATTATACTTTTTATTTCCATATTGTCGGTATGTCCCATACCAACAGAAAAGAAAAAGAAAAACATTTTTCATTCTCACACAACTTTTGTAAACAATAATAATATTTCTGTTACCATTCGAGCTTTTCAATGCATTAATACCTGTTGAATATATGTTTGATCTGTGGCACGTAAACGATTGACTAGAATGATAATATACGAACATAAATGGAGCCCTACCTCTCGTAGAAGAGCTTCAGTGGCTTTTTTGTCATCGAGTTTATCTTTTTGTATTGCTGGATCAGTGCCAGCAGTGTCTATGAAAATGATGCCTTCACCACATTTTCTTGGTACTGCAATAGATATGCCCTCCGTATGTATTAAATTACCACTAGGCAGCTGAATGTTACAAAGTTGATTAAGTAGGTATGTCTTGCCACGATTGTACGAACCGAGAACAGCAACTACTACACCACGGTTATTTTCAGATGTTGGCATTGTTGGTGTAACATCCGTAGTATTCTCACCAAGTAAAATTTCCCAACCATTTGTGCTTAATGCAGTAAGACTATTCATACGAATAATAACATCATGTGGTGCGGGAGTTGAAGGTTTTCCAATCATATTCCATAATAGTTTGCCACCAACACAAAACATACCACCGAGAACAATGGGCAGTGCCAGCATACTACATGTGAGAATAAAGTAACATTGAAGATCGAAATAGTGTGCATGCATGATAAAAAAATACTGGAAGCCATAAAAGGTTTACTTACTTAACTGAAAGCCAGACACTTTGAAAATAAATTTCTGTTCGGTAAAGTTCAGTTCAAAAATTTAGTTCTCGTTATAAAAGATGTAGAATTTCTCGGTATATCGAGTAGTATGGTTGTTCTTTGTTCTCGCTTTGTAAAATGCAAACCACCACAAAGACATCCTCAATTAATAAAGTGGTACATTATTTTGAAGATTTTCTCAAAATCTTGATAAAAAATTATTGTTTTTATATCAAACATAACAATGTGTGTTTTGGTATTAGACCAAGCCTTGGAATGAATCTCGGAAATATTTACTAAAAACTTATTAAAAAAGAATAGTTTTTCAAATATTTCCCCAAAACCATTCTTTGTATATATGAATCCACTGCAACTTTTTTGTACAATTGATAAAAAAAAATACAGGTATCCTTTCTCTCGTTTTTTCATCATTTGATAATATGGGAGTCAAGCAAAGTTGAGTCCGTCGTTTTCGTTTACTGACTGATTTCGATGGCATACGTGTTCAAAAAAGTTTCTATGGATTGACACTCAACAACTGGATGCAAAGCAGAAGAAGAGAAACTCTTGAAGTCATTGGATGGAAAGGGAAAAAAGGACAATGAATGGGTTTGTTCCCTTCGAAGCGCATTTCTTCACTCAAATCGTCTACGCCTACTGCAAAGACATGCATCGAAGTAACTAGGCAATAATAACAATAAAACTTGGGTGTCCTTTTTCGCTTATTTCTTCATCGGTTGCCAACGCATTTCTGTGTTGGTCTCTCTAGCTCTTTAGCATGACAACACTTTCAAAATAAAAGAAATGGAGTTCTTAAGTGACAATAAAAAACACAGAAAACAAAGACAAATGGACAAAAGAAGAAAAATGCTATATGAACAGAGAAACCCGTCTTCTTCTGCTTAGTATCCATTCTGCCAAAATTTGCAATCGACGACTACACACAACATCGACAAGAAGAAACTGACAATAGCAAGCAGCTCTATTCGGTAAGGGAAGATCAAGAAATTGTCTACCTCTTCCACGACGCTGTCTGTATATGACGTCACGAATCATAGGATGGAGGTTCGAAGCCACCAGTGCCGTAAAAAAGCAAGAAGATCGACATTTGATTTTCGTGGCCTAAATGGAGGTTTTTTCACATGCTCTGAGCATTGATAGACTTCATTCATCCAGGACGACTTAGCCGACTGTCGTATTCCGTCGGAAAAATCGACGAATTTCGCTGAATTCTATCATGTCCGACAAAGTCCAACAATCGGAAAGCGTCTAAATGATATCGAATTCCGATAAAATTCCTACAGTCGGAATCCTGAGCTGAGGAAATTGCCGAATTTTGCAGGATCTGATAAGGTCCGATGGGGTACTGTTCATCGTGCACTACTCCCGATCGTGGAACTGGTTTTATATACTTCCTTGGTTACCAAACTATATAGATTTTTTCAAAAACTATTTAGTATCTTTAACGTTCAGTTTCGAATACATTTTTTGAGAACAGCATATTCATCGCCGACTTTCTGCATCTGTTAAGTTGATGTGAAATATCAACGATAATGGCTATTGATTTAGGAAAACTTATGAATATATTAAGAGAATTAGTTTTGTTGTTTCTAACAAGTAAACTATTCATTTTCAAGATGATGCTTGCTGGATGTCTTTTAGCAGGTTTTCAAATAACTTTACTGATTTCGATTAGTCTCCAGCTATAAAATCTGCCGATTCGACTTCGTAGGATTCCAATGTAATGAACAGTGAACGGAAGATCTTTTGTCTGTAAAAATAAATTTTTTCCGAGGAATTATGTTTTGACACCGAAACAATTCTGTTAAACTGAGAATCGACTTCGAGTAACCAGCACATTCAACTGACTTAGATGTTCACGGCCGTTGTTTCCAAACCATAAAGTTTTACTCTGTCTCATCTAAACTAAGCGCTGTAAATAACTAAGAGAGGGTTCGCGAGGCCTTAGAGAAAATCCATAATATGGTCAGAGGCTTTCACTATTTTCTTGCGTTTCTCAATTTTGAAGCAAATCTCAAAAATTTTAAATATAAAATCTTTTTTGAGCCATTACAGATGCAGAGTAAACGTTTCTCTACAAAATAAGACGTCCGCGAGCTCTTTACAACGTTTTTCTTACGGTTTTACATGCGTTCAGCAACAAGCATTGTGTTTGAGGCCAGTCTCCTTCTGATTTTTACTCTAGTTTTAATCCATTGACCAAATGCAATAATTTACATATAATTGAATAGAGCATCGTAAGTTACATCTAGCGGCATGTATTTTTATCTTCATCGATATGTACTAAAAGTACATATCGTTTGTTTTTCATCGTGCCGTGTCCTTGAGAAATTTCATGTTTTCTAAATAAGGAGCTCAAAAACCGGAATTCTGCCAGTGTTTTCAAGTCTGATCTTTGTCACTGCGTCTAGTAAAGTTTGCTCGAATCAGGTTATGATCCGCACAAGCGATATTTCTGGCAGATATAAGCTCCTAGAACTGAAAATGTTTTCCCCGTGCACATTCATAGTAAAAAATTTCGTGCAAGCCAATTTTGAAAGAATAAAAAATGGATAGTAAAAACGAGATATCAGGCATGAGTTTTAGAACATGGTATCAAAATTTTACGGAAAAAAGCTCGCTAGGTCTGAAAAAAGCGATGGTTGTTTCCGCGCGGCTCAGATGTAAAAGAGATTCGAGATACTAGTAAAATATGCAGATTTTCAAGAGCTAAAAAATAGCACATTTGGTTTGTTGATAGTTGGTACGTTTGCATCTTGGGAAAGGGAAAAGTGAAAAAAACCTGTTTCAAAATGCACCTCATTCGTGTCTCTCAATCTTCCCCTCGGGATTTTTCAGTATGACATTTTATAGTGAAGCTTCTTATACGATTTTGTAGAGAATTGAACGAGGAATCTTTTGGAAAAAAAATTATGTCTCAGGGATGAAGAATGACAAAATATGGAATTTTCATTTTTCATATGCTACACTAAAACTTCGATAGCAGGTCAAACAAATATAGTACCACGCTCAAACTTTGTCAAAAATTGCCTGATACTTAACTCTACCTAGCAACAAAATTTGAGTCTTCAAGACCGAGTGTATTAATAAGAAAAAAATTTAACGTCGAAAAAGCTTCGAATACGTTATTGACCATTTTAGTCTTAAAATTGATTTTTCTCATTTTTATTATGTCTTTTTGTAAAAATAAGATAATATTTTTGATCCGCGGACAGAGCAAAATCGAATGGCAGATTATACGAATATAGAAAAAGAGAAAACAATCAGTCTTGGACTCCCCCTATAAAAAGTTCAGAAACAATTTTGAAAAACCTTTCTGTTTTGTTCTTTGAAAAGATAGAGCCGATTTTTGCATTTCACTACAACCACCGTTAAACGAACTTTAAAAGTACATATCGTTTGTTTTTCATCGTGCCTTGTCCTTGAAAAATTTCATGTTTTCTAAATGAGGAGCGCAAAAACCGGAATTCCGCCAGTGTTCTCAATTGTATTCATCAGGACTAAAGTATTATGCAACAAAAATATCGTATTCGGAATTTCATTTCATGTCGGTAAATGCTCAAACTGTTTAAAGATGTATTTTTTGAGAAACGATCATACTTTCAAACCAAAAATTATATATAGTCAGATGCCCAATAAAAATTCTCTATCGAACCTGCTATTCAGCTTTTTGATACTTCACATTTTTAAATCCGGCAGGTCCTTTCGTGTATAAATACCACCGCTCTGTTTAGGCCTTGGTACATTTGTCTGATAATGAACTAGACTGTTCGAAATCGTGTAAACGAAGATGAAAGTAAGTATTAAAAATACACTATATGTATAACTTTTAATACTTTCTTTTTTATTAGAGCATAGAGAATTTTGTTACCAATAACAGAAGACATTTACCTGTGGCAGGTGAGGTTGTTGGTGCAGTGGTGATACCTGAAAAATGATAAAAGCTTCATTCCGCATCCATCCTGATAATGCGACACGCGATAAATGACTATGATAAATTAAAAGAATCGAGAACTGCTGACTTGCTGAAGTGGTGGTAATGTTTGTCGTTGTTTATTAATTCAAGCAAGCAAATTTAGTTATCAGATAGCAGCTGTATATCAAAGTTTTGTAAAATCTCTCTCTGTCTTCCGAAGGAGACTATTCTGCCTCTCAGTCGAGGCAGCTTTCTTACATTTTTCTGATAATGAACGAGACTGTTCGAAGCCGTAAAAACGAAGATGAAAGTAAGTATTAAAAATATATTATATATATAATTTTTAATATTTACTTTTTATTAGAGCATACAGAAGCATTAGAGAATTAGATGCTTTCGCCGCGCTGCATGAAATATGATGAAAATAAGGTGGTATATGCAGAATTTCTCGGTGAATCCGACAGCGGATTCCTTGTAATTCTATCTTGACTTCTGCTCTGACGTCGACACATGTTTACCTCATTTTTGGTTCTCTGACTGGCGCTTTTTTCTTAGTCAACGAGAGAGAGAACCAAAATTTAGGGCAAAAATCACGTCGATTGTGTTGACGTCAGAGAAAAAGTCAAAAATACAATTACAAGGAACCCGCTGTCTGATTTACCGAGAAATTCTGCATATACCACCTTATTTTCATCAAATTTGGTGCAGCGCGGTCAAAGTACCGAATTCTCTAATGATTTGTAAAGTCCATTGAATTCTTTACTCCATCTATTGGATTCGGACTGGACTGCTTTCTAGAGTAGAATAAACTGGACTTAAAAAACTGTTTTTCATGGACTCAGACTAGACTGGACTGGACTAGACTATTTTAGTCCATGGACTGGATTCAAAAATTTGAGTCCATACGGATCTCTGATACCTACCATCATTACATCCGCTTTTGGGACGAATACCGAGACGTGCATCAAATGAAG